GAGGGAGGGAGGGAGGGAGGGAGGGAGGGAGGGAGGGAGGGAGGGAGGAGAAAGGAAGGAAGGAAGGAAGGAAGGAAGGAAGGAAGGAAGGAAGGAAGGAAGGAAGGAAGGAAGGAAGGAAGGAAGGAAGGAAGGAAAGAAAGGAAGGAAAGAAAGAAAGAAAGAAAGAAAGAAAGAAAGAAAGAAAGAAAGAAAGAAAGAAAGAAAGAAAGAAAGAAAGAAAGAAAGAAAGAAAGAAAGAAAGAAAAGAAAAGAAAAGAAAAGAAAAGAAAAGAAAAGAAAGGAAGGAAGGAAGGAAGGAAGGAAGGAAGGAAGGAAGGAAGGAAGAAAGAAAAAGAAAGAAAGAAAGAAAGAAAGAAAGAAAGAAAGAAAGAAAGAAAGAAAGAAAGAAAGAAAGAAAGAAAGAAAGAAAGAAAGAAACTAGACCACCAACTTAACACCATACATAAGAATAAACTCAAAATGGATAAAGAACTTAAATGTGTCCTAACTGGTTTGGCTCAGTGGATGGAGCGTCGGCCTGTGAAATCAAGGGTTCCAGGTTCAATTCTGGTCCAGGGCATGTACCTTGGTTGCGGGCACATACCCATTAGGGAGTGTGCAGGAGGCAGCTGACTGATGTTTCTAACTATCTATACCTCTCCCTTCCTCTCTGTAAAAAATTAATAAAATATATATATTTTTTAAAAAGAACTTAAATGTAAGAGGTGAAACCATAAAAATCCTGTAAGGACCATAGGCAGCAAAATCTCAGACATCTCTCATAGCAATATGTTTATAGATACCTCTCCTAAGGCAAACGAAACTAAGGAGAAAATAAACCAATGGAATTACATCAAAATAGAAAGCTTCCGTACAACAAAAGAAATAATCAACAAAACTAAAAGAGAGCCCACTGTATGGAAAACATACCTAGCAATGATACATCTGATAAAGGGTTAATATCCAAAATATATAAAGGTCTCATACAACTTAACAAAAGGAAGATAAGCAATCTAATTAAAAAATGGGCAAAGGACCTAAAGAGACACTTCTCCAAAGAGGACATACAGATGGCTAAGAGAAATATGAAAAAAATGCTCAAAGTCACTGATCATCTGAGAGATGCAAATCAAAATGACAATGAGGTACCATCTCACACCTGTCAGAATGGCTGCCATAAACATATGACAAGTACTGGAAAGAACATGGAGAAAAGGGAACCCTAGTACAGTGCTGGTGGGAATGCGGACTGGTGCAACCATTATGGAAAATAGTATGGAATTTCAAAAAAAAAAAAAAAAAATTAAATATGGAACTGCCATTTGAACCACTGATCCCACTCCTAAGAATATATCCTAAGAAACCCAAAGCACCATAAAGAATGTATGCACCCCTTTGTTCATAGCAGTACAATTTACTATAGCTATGATCTGGAAACAACCCAAATGCCCATCAGTAGGTAAGTGGATAAAAAAGCTGTGGTACATTTCTAACATGGAATACTATGCAGCAGTAAAAAAAAAAAAAAAAAAAGAAGAATCTCTTAGTATTTGAGACAGCATTGAGGGATCTGGAGAGTATCATGTTAAATGAAATAAGTCAGTCAGAGAAAGATAAGTATCACATGATCTCACTCATAAGTGGAATCTATCGAACAAAATAAACAGATGAACAGAGGGAAGGTGGAGGATAGGGTGTGGGTGGGAGATAATCAACCATTATATGCATATATGTATAATCCATGGACACAGACAATAGAGTGCTGAAGGCCTGGGGCAGGGTAGAGGTGTGGCCGGAGGGATTAATAGGGGGGAAAAAGGGTACATGTGTAATACTTTCAACAATAATTATTAGAACAAAACAAACAAACAAAACAATACTTTATAGATTAGTAGGAGAGAACTGAGAGTTCAGAAACAAACCCTTACAAATGCCAACTATTCAAAGTGGGAGAGACTAGTCTTCAACAAATTGTGCTGGATATCCACATGCAAAAGAATGAAATCGAACCCATACCTCAGACCATATTTAAAAAAATTATTTCCAAAATGATCATAGACCTAAATGCAAGAGTTAAAACTATAAAATTCTTAGAAGAAAACATGGGAGTAAATCATGATATTGGATTAAGTCCAATAGTAATACCTGGCTTCCGATCCCTATCGACTAGCCTCCTTGGGGTTTCTTCAGCCTAGGAACCAAACTTGCTTTATAGCCAGGTACAAACATTTTACAGTTTAACCAAATGTTTGTAAAGCATTTTCCCATGTCTCATCTCATTTGATCCTCACAGAAGTCCTGGAGTAGGTAGATAGACTTGGACACTAGTGTGTATATAACAATTATCCTTAATAGTAAAAAAAGTGGAAACAATCCAAGTGTCCATCAAATGACGAATAGATAAAATGTGGGATATTATGTTATTTGGCCACAGAGTTATGAAGTACTGAATGGAAATACTACAACATGAATAAGCCTTGAAAACATGCTAAAACCAGACATAAAAGGACACATATTATATGCTTTTGTTTATATGACATATCCAGAATAGACAAGTCCACAGAGACAGAAAGTAGATTAGTAGTTATCAGGAGCTGGGGAAGGGGGAAATGGGGATTTACTGCTAATGGTACAGGTATCTTTTAGGGGTGATGAAAATGTCCTAAAATTAACTCTGGTGCTGGTTGCACAACTTTGATTATGCTAAAAAAAAAAAAAAAAAAGCCAACGAGTTGTACACTTAAAAATGGTAAATTTTATGGTATGTGAATTTTCTAAAAAAAAAAACACAAAAAAACAAAAACAAAAAAACTAAAAAACAAAATAAACACATTAAAAAAAAAAAAACAACAAAACACAAAAACCCCATCTTATCACATGGGTTTCTAGCCACACTTTCCATTGAAATAGTAAAATTAAAACCCTATTAGGCTTCTATTCTCTATTTCATTTCTGAGAGTTAAGAGTCAACAACCTGTGCTCTTTTATTTTTCATTAAAATATATATTTTTATTGATTTCAGAGAGGAAAAGAGAAGGAGAGATAGAAACATAAATAATGAGAAAGAATCATGGATCAGTTGCCTCCTACACTCCCCTTGACTGGGAATGAAACTGCTGGTTCATAGGTGGACACTCAACCACTGAGGCACACCAGCAGGGCCCTCTGTGTTTTTCTAACCCATGCTTTGGTAAAAGCCCCCGAAAATACTTCCCTCCTTTTTTTCGCACAAGGTATTCCTGGAGAGAGATCTCTGAGGTGGGCAACAGAATGTGATAGCTCCTCTTAGGAGGCTCCTCTTATTTAGCTATCAGAAGGTAGAAGGAGAGTCTCCCAGCCCAAAGAAAGAAACAAACAAAAAACAAAAAACCAACCCTCCAGATATCTTGATTTCATACTTCCAGCCCCCAGAACTGAGAGACAATAATGTTATGTGAGACACACACACACACACACTCACACACAGAAGTTCCTCATACACACTGACTTGATATAATTATTATATATACAGAAGGAAAACTTGTATGTACAAATCATATGAATTGTATGATTTTAAATATTTACTTAAAATTATATGTACAGCCAGGACCGGTCTGGCTCAATGGATAGAGCGTCGGCTTGGGGACTGAGGGGTCCCGGGTTCGGTTCCGGTCAAGGGCATGTACCTTGGTTGCGGGCAGATCCCCAGTGGGGGGTGTGCAAGAGGCAGCTGATCAATGACTCTCTCTCATCTATGTTTCTGACTCTCTATCTCTCTCCCTTCCTCTCTGTAAAGAAATCAATAAAATATATTTTTAAAAAAATTATATGTACATATATTTCTGTGTTTTTGGTTTTTTTTTCCAACTGAACCATGAAATCTCCAATAAAGGCCCCAGTCTAAAAAGTCTGTGCACCTGGAGTGGTGCACACACAATACAATATACAGATGATGTATTACGGAACTGTCCACCTGAAGCCTATATTATTAACCAATGTCATCCCAATAAATTCAATAAAAATTAAAAACAAATAAACAAACACCGCCTGTGCTCTAGTACTGCCCCAGTGCCCTACCCACTGTAGGTATCCCATGTGGTCTTTTGTTTCAGAGGCTGCTGATACCTTATCAGCACACACCAAAGTGTAGGGCTTACATTCCAGTTCCTCCACTGACTTAGCCGAGTGACTTTGGGCAGGTTGCTTCAACTGTGTGCCTCACGTTTACTCATCCCTAAGATGAGGCTGGCCAAACCAGCCCCTTGGTGTTTCAGCAAAAACAAAACATTTGATGACGCTCTGAACATGGCTTCTGGCACCCGGAGACGCGAGGCTGCTATTGTCTGTGTATTAATATATACACTAGTCTACGGCAAATCCTTTCCTTCCCATACTTTTGAACCTAGACTAATTGACATTAGCCCTCTTAATCAGCTTCATCTTTACAAATAAATTTTAAAAATTCTACGCCAAAGGATCACTGAGGAAATAAAAAGAACACGAGGAAAACTATCACACATCCAGGGCTGGAGAAAAAAGATGCTCCTTTCTTTTCGGTCTCTCTGGCACTTCATTAGCATCACCACCCTACCGCCCAGGGCTTCCGGCTGAGACTCCGTAAGCACCGCGGGGCGGCCCCCAGGCACACACCTGGGGACCGACGGGCGATGTGTGTCCCCGACAAGGCCAAGCACAACTCCGCGTCGGGGAGCCATTTTTGCCGCTCAGGAAAATGAAAAGGTGCACGAATGAACGAGTGAATTAGCCCTCCCAGCAACCCCCGTTTCCCAGGAGGGCCGGGTCCCCGCACAAAGACCGCATTTATCATTATTATTAAAAAATAATAAAAGTAAAAACTACAGGTACGTACATTTTTTATGTACCTATCCAGCTCCCCGGGGAGGTGCGGTGGAGCCGGACGGACAGGGGAGAGCCGGGTGGGCGGGGGGCAAGAAGGCCGGTGGGCTGACGGGGGCAGGACACCCTCGGGAAAGCGAGGCGCTGGGACGGGTGGCCTGAGGGAGGGGGTCGGGCCTCACCTTCGCCCGCTTGCGCCGGCTGGTCCGTCGTCCCTCCGGGGTCTCGGCGATTCCCGTCTCCATGGGGGTGGCAGACCCAGGCACGACGGTAGGCCCGGCTGGAGGCCCGGCGGACCCCGGCGGCTCGGCGAGGCCCCCGGGGGGCGAGGCCCGCGGAGGCTCCTTCTTGCGGGGGGTGCGCTCTCCCGCCACCCCCGGCCCGGGCTCCACCGGGCCCGACGGGCCCGCGGGCGGCGCGGCCACCTCGGAGCCATTCTCCGAGCCTGCCGCTACCCCCGAGCCCGCCTCCGAGCCCGCCGCGGCCGCCGCGGCCGCCGCAGCCGCCGCCTTCTTCCCGGACAGCATCTCGGGCCGCCTGGGCGCTGACGGCTGAAGGGCCGCTCAGCCCGCGGGTCCGAGGGTCCGAGGGTCCGGGCCGCGTCGCCTCGCTCCTATGCTCCCAGCGCGCGCGCCGCCTACCGCCGCCGCCGCCGCCGTGTACGCAGGCGCGGAGCGCGCTCCCGTCGCGTCCGGACAAAAAGCCGGAGACGCCCACGGCTCCGCCCTCCGCTGCCATAGAGTCGCGTCCTCGCGGCTAGAGCGGCGCCGCGGCAAAGAGCGCGGTGCTTTCCTAGAGCGTCTCCGTGGCCTTTGGAGTTGGCCCTGAGACACCGTCCTGGTCCTAGGGCTTCTGAGCCAGACTACACCTCTGAGGGCGACCATTTCACCCAGGGATTTGGTTGCACTTATAAATTAATTCATTTTCATTCATTCATTCATCTATTCGTCGATTCAACCAATATAGGTGACAAGGGCTTACTTATGTAATTCTTGCTTTCCAAGAGCGTATGGTCTAGGGATGGGAAATCTCACTTATTTATAATTGTCCTTGGTTGTAACACTGAGGAAATCTTGGAGAGCAAACAAGTTCCGTGGTAATAAAATGGACAGTAATTAATAAATTCAGTTTTGAGCACAACATGATTGTTCTAGCATCCAAAGTTTTGTTCATGCCCTTGCTCCCTCACACCTCCATTCCCTTTGTCCACTCACTCCTCTATACACCTGTTTCTACAAATAGTGAACACATGTCAAATATTTGTTTATTGAGAAAACAGCAGGACGATATATCTGGTTCAAAGGAGAATATGAAAAATTGATATATATAGTCATTGGTGAGTGGAAAACAGAATGCTAGGAAAGGGTTGCAAAGTGTGTATATATATATATATGCCTAAGTGACTGTTATGACCTGTTGAATGGAACTAGAACAACAGATTGACCAGTTGCTATGATATGCACTGACCACCAGGGGATAGATGCTCAACGCAGGAGCTACGCCCTGGCGGTCAGTGTGCTCCCACAGCCAACCTCCTGCAGCCTCTTCCCCAACCCCCTACATGAATTCGTGCACAAGGCCTCTAGTTTTTTTAAATTTTTATTTTTTATTTATTTATTTATTTTTTATAGGCCTTCCTTCCCCTGGCTTTGCCCCCTGTCCTCTCTGAGCCTCTGCAAGTGGGAGACTTTTTTTTTTTTTTAAATCAATCTTTATTGTTCATATTATTACAAAGGTTCCTCATTTCTTCCCCCCTCCACCAGGTTCCCACCCCACCCTCAGCCCCCTCCCCACCCCCCATTGTCCTCATCCATAGGTGCACAGTTTATGTTCAGTCTCGGGCCTCTAGTTTTTAAATAAGAAAAAGCAGTTGATGTCTTACATTGCCATAAAACTAAACTCTAAACTTCGGGGCTTATCTTTTCTCTCAGACAGAACTCATTTGCATTTACCCCCCCTCAAAACAACAACAACAACAACAACAACAAAAAACACATTTTCTGCTTGTTTTCTGCCAGAATTACAGGCATACCTTGGAGATCTTGTGATTTGGGTTCCAAACCACCATAATAAAGCAAGTATTACAATAAAGGTAGTCACAATCTTTTTGCTGGTGGAGGGTCCTATCTACAATTTGTAAAAAGCAAAACACCTGTGAAGCACAATAAAGCAAAACACAATAAGGCACAATAGGCCTGTAACTAATTAGTTTCATTTTCTTAAATTGTGGTAAAATATATATAACATAAAACTTACCATCTTAAGCATCTTTAAACACACAGTTCACTAGTGTTAAGTACATTCACATGATTGTACAATCTCCAGAACTCTTTTCATCTTGAAAAAACTCTGTACCCATTAAACAATAACTCCCCAACACTCCCCGCACCCCACCCCCAGTCCCTGCCAACCACCATTCTACTTTCTGTATCTATAAATTGGACCACTCTAAATAGCTCATGTAACTGGAATCAAACAGCTTTTGTCTTTTTGTGACTGACTTACTTCATTTAGCACAATCCCCTCAAAGTTCATCCATGTTGTAGCAAGTTCCAACATTTTCTTCATCTTTAAGACAATAATATTCTAATGTCTGTATATACAAGATTTTGCTTATCCATTTATCTGTTGGTGGACTATCTGCTGCTTCCACTTTTTGGCTATAGTGAATAATGCTGCTATGGACATGGGTGTGCAAATGTCTCTTCAAGACCCTGCTCTCAGTTCTTTGGGATATATATTCCCAAGTGGGATTGCTAGAGCAACTTACGCATTTTTTAAAAGTTCACATCTGGCCCTGGATGGTGTGGCTTGGTTGGGTAAGCATTGTCCCACGCACTCAAGGGTTTCTGGTTCCATTCTGGGTCAGGTCACATGCCCAGGTTTTGAACTTGATCCCTAGTGGAAGGGCGGGGCATGTAGGAGGCTGCCGATCTGAGTGTTTCTCATATTCTCTCCCCTCCCCCCTTTCCTTTCTCTCTAAAATTAATAAAACGTATTTTAAAAATCAATCAATAAAAGTTGACATCTGACTTTACAGAGTGGGGACCCTAATCAATATTAAATAGTAAGTCAAAGTTATCCTTCCCGAAAGCATCAGGTGACCAATAGGTGGGCCAGTGAGATAATATTCTAGTATTACTGTGAACAAACTTGCAGTCAACTTTTAGCCTTATTTCCAAATTCTGGATAATTTTTACTTGCAGTCTCCCTCACTATGAGGGGAAGGGCTGTATTTCTAGGTATTTTTTATTCTCAGTGGCTAGGCCCTTAAGTACTGTTGATTGAATGAAGTATCACTAAGGCCTACATCACCTGGCTGTTATGAGGACATTATGAGATGTTGCTTGCAAACTGCCTGTCAAAGGCTGGCACATAGTGGCTGCTTAAGACATAGAAGTACTTAATATTATTGTTATGCAACAACTGGGGGCTAGGGGCTGGTCATGATTCAGAGTGGGGGTCAGCCATGACTCCTGGTATGGGGGCAACTGTCCTAGAGGGGGGACTGAGGGTGGGTCTTGGGGCCTGGGTGCCACCAAAGCTAGAATGCTGGGAGATCTAATGTCTTTTTTTAGGACTCTCCACGAGATACTTGATTCCTCAGGCACCGTAGGAGCATTGGTGGCTTGGATGATCAGCTATAAGCCAGCCTTGTTTGGGTTCCTATTCCTTCTGCTATTGCTTAGCAACTGGCTGGTCAAGTATGAATTCAAGTTCACCCCCACAGAGCCCCAACAGGTGAGCAAGAGGAGCCTTACCTTCAGTTGAGGGTGATGGGATATTTATAGGTAGATTGGGGTTTGGGGGACAGGGAAATGTCAGGATAATGAGGCAAGGCCCAGGCACCCACACCTCTAAGTCTCTGCTCTGCAGCACATCCTTCACAAATCTTCAGGTGCCTCAGCTATGAATTGGGACCACACTAGACTGCCACTTCCTGTTTGACATCAATATGCTTTGGTAACAGCAATACTCGCTTTATTTTTTAAATATATATATTTTATTGATTTTTTACAGAGAAGAAGAGAGAGGGATAGAGAGTTAGAAACATCGATGAGAGAGAAACATCGATCAGCAGCCTACTGCACTACTGGGGATGTGCCCGCAACCAAGGTACATGCCCTTGACTGGAATCGAACCTGGGACCTTTCAGTCCACAGGTCGACATTCTATCCACTGAGCCAAACCGGTTTTGGAAACACTTGCTTTAAAGGAAAACATGAAAATGGGTGAACTAGAGACACATGTATAACATAGATACATCTCTAAAATATAATAATGAAGATAGGAGAGATGTACATGAGTTATGACGTTTCACATAAAGTTTAAAAACATGCCAAACAATAACCAATCTTGTTTATGAATGCACTTTTTAAAAAATGTAATTCTTTATTGTTCAAAGTTCAAAATATTACATAAGTCTCCCTTTCCCCCCATTGACCTCTCCCCAGCTGCTCCAGCACATGCCCTCACCCCCCTACTGTCTGTGTCGATTGATTAAGCTTATATGCATGCATGCAAGTCCCTTGGTTGATCTCTTACCCCTTCCCCAAAAAGCACATGTTTAGTGAAAGTACATTAAGGCAGGATTCTTCAACTTCCACATGATTGACATTTAGGGCGGGATAATTCTTCTTTGTGAGGGACTGCTCTGTGCATTAGATGTTTAGCAGAATCCCCGGCCTCTACCCATAAGATGCCAATAGCACCCATCACCCCTTTTGTGACAACAAAAAAATGTCTCCAGACATTGCCCAAGGTCCCTTGGGAGGACACAGTAGCCTCTGGCTGAGAGCCACCGGAATGAAGAAACGCATGGAAAAAGTAAATGCCGGATTCAGGATTGCATTGAGATGAGGTTCAGGGAGGGAGGGAGAACACTCTAGGAGAGGGAGCCACAACGGCATCTGTGATGTTTTATTTCTCACACTAGTATGGAGACATGGGTATTGGTTGTAATATTTACTTTTTCGTGTGTCTGAAAGATTTAATTTTTAAAGGGGTGGAAAGACCAGGAGTTTGTAGTTGAATCCAAAAAGAAAAGCTAAAGCATTATTACTCTGGGTGAGGGGGCAGGTGAGGACGATAGAGAGAAGAGCATGTCCCGAGACACTGAGACTGGGCAACAGAGACTTTGCAGGGCCTGACGAACTTTCAGCACTGTGGGGAACGCACAGCCCTGGAGACAGACAGATACATTTGGGTTAAGCTTTTATGTTCTTCTCTGAACCAAAGGAAACTGTGGGTCCTGGGAGTGTGGGGTCTCTCCCACAAGCTGGATGATGCTGAGCCCCGATTCTCGGCGGGCTGTGAAAATCCATTCAGGTGACAGTTATAAGTAAACCGGGCATAGCAAGGAGGACTATTGTTATTAACCAATCTCTCCTCTTTTCCTGCTGGTGGGAGCTTAGGAAAACACAGACAAACGAAAGACCCCTGAAGCCGAATCCAACTGCAATGGCAACAGCAACGGCAACGCCATGAGCACGAGAGAAGTCGAGAGGCTGCACGCCTGCTTTGCCCT